CCCCTGCCACACCGCTGGCCACTGCCCTCACAGGGGGCCACTGGCTTCAGCGCATCCCCCACCCCCTAAACCTTCACAGGACAGAGCATGGGTGCAGACCTGAAACTGGTCTGTGCTGGGAGGGTGTCTGCCTCAAAATGGACATGTTCAGGGAAAATAAATAGCAGTGTCTGGGGTAGTTGGAAAAAAGCAGCAATCAGCCAGATTAAATGGTAACCCAGGGTGATTGTCGTGGTATAACCCCAGCTGGCAACTGGGCACCACACCACCACCTGCCTCCCCCCAGTCGTGCTGGGAGGAGTGAGCAACAGGAAGGGTAAAAGTGAGAAAACCCATCGGCTGAGAAAAGTTTAATCACTGAAACAAAGTAATAACAAGCTTAAAAATTGTAATGAAAAAGAAAACAACAAAAAGAGAGAGAAATAAAACCCAGGACAGACAAGTGCTGCTAACGAGCAGAATGGCTCACCACCAACCCACTGCTGGCCAGTTGGTCCCTGAGCACCCCCCTGCCACCCTCCCCTCAGCAGTAAGGAAATCATCCCTCTGTTACCAGCACAGCTCTGAAACACGGCCCCACACCAGCTCACAGGGAGAAAACTACCCCAGCCCAAACCAGCACAGCGCTTTTGGGGAGATTGTTGAACAAGAGAGGCACTGGCTCGAACAGGACCGTTAAAAAGGAGCAATTAACAAAATTTAGGGCCATGGGAGGAAGAATCCTTGGAGCGTGGTGGTAGTGGTGGGTATGGTACAGCTGCTGGCACAGGGGGGTGGCACGGGGTGCCCTGCCTGCCTCCTGCCCTGCACTGCTGCTCCCCGTGAGTATTCCATGGCATGGCTCACGTGCTGATGGCACAAGCCTCCGTGCCTACCCGACTACATAGCTGAAAAATAGCAGTAAAAAAGAGATAAACCCCTCGTTTTGGGACAGCAGTGCGTGTCTTCTGTGCTGGTGGCAGGACCCCAGGCCGCAGCCATCCCAGAGCTTCTGGGTCCCCAGGCTCTGGCGCCGGGGCGGGGGGAGGCACTAGGAGAGCAGGCAGCTCCTTCTCCCCCGCTTCCCGCGGCGCGGGGGG